CTTCAAAAACAACTCTCTACAATATTGGAAACGTCAGAGCACGGCACTACTCAAGGAACACATTCCACTGGTACATCAACCAAATCGACAATAAGTTCGCCAGATTTTGAGAACGAAAATCAACCAAACACAGCAACACGGCCGCTTCACACAGACTTGGAAACGGTTTTCGAACGATCTCAAGAAGTATCTGGAACCAATTCCAAGGAAAATATTTTATTGTCAAATGTGAATTTAGACACTAAAAGCATTTCATCAACAACAACAACAAATAAGCACCCCGCAATTGAAAACATCGACTATAAGCAATCAAAATACTCACCAAGCAAGGTACCAACAACACCTGCTGCAACAAGACTTCATAACTTAAGAAGTAATGTGTCCGTGCTTGACGAGTTTGCGGAAGAGTGCGAAATCAAAGAAGCAGGCAATTTCTCCAGATTGATGCAATGTGAAGACACAGCACCGAATATTGCGATGCGTACGGTGCGTTTCCAAGATGACAAAACGGAAACTGTACCTACGTTGTTGGTATCAGCACCGAACCGAGTTCAATTTCAAGAAGACAAAACTGAAACTATCTCTAAAATGTTGATTCAACCTGTCGCTACTGATCAGAAACCAGAAGAAGATAAGCTAAATAATTCATTACAAATGATATTCTTACCTCCCAAACCGATACGATTTGAAGACGAGTACACCGAAACCATGCCTAAATTAATGTTTAAATCGCATGATACCAACAACGCTAGCATTGATGATTCATTTCAGTTTTTCGTTAAAACACCTCCGGCCATTGAAAAATCGTTAGTAAAACAAAATCAACAACTTGGAATTACAAAACAAATCTCTACCGTAAAACATCCATCCCCCTTGGTTCCAAAATCGAAACGATTTTGCGATATTGACACACCTGAGGTACAAACTAATTTAATGTTTGCTCAAAAGCCCAAGGAGAACACGAAAAAAACTATGCTGCTATTTGAGGATGAAATAAGTGATAAAAGCATGAAATTACCTAAAGATGCACTCCTCTCCTTTCGAAAATCGTCCAATATATCATCAAAAAATATTTTAGAAGACTCATTCCTACCTGACTTTTCTATAATTGCGGAAACACAGCCGAAGTTAGTTCAAAACAAGGATAAACTGCTAATTGGATCAAGTCATCGAACTGAAATAACTAAACCTGAACAAGACGATTCTCTTTTATCCAACCTTTCATTTATTTCAGAAACACAACCAACAGCAAATCCACAAAAGGAAAACACAAAAAACGAAATTTCAGAAACACAACCAACAGCAAATCCACAAAAGGAAAACACAAAAAACGAAAAATCAGAAGCAGCCAATTTAACAGGAGCTACAACGAATATATCAGTTAAAAGAATTGGTGCAAACATCAGTGCAAACCAACACCAAGTGGACAACACAAATCGGAAACATGAAACAATTGTTTCTGGAGATTCTTTCATGCACGACTTTTCCATCGGGGATAATAGACCATTACAAGTCTCTACAAAGTCTCAGAATATATCGAATTCATTCTTCCATTTAAACAAATCAGAAACGAAAGACTCGAATGCAAGCTCATTTATTAAACCGAAATCACAGCTTCAGTTCCGAAATACACAAAATAATACTCATGAAATGCAGGATTTGTCAGTAGTTTTAAACTCTCAGCCACAGAAAGAAAACCTCAAAGCCTTCAGCTCTGGAGGTAGTACGTTGAAATTTTTGAGCAAACCTTCACCAAAAGTTCCGACAAAAACAAATTACGAAAACTCCCAGAGTAATTTAAATTTTTTAGAAAAACCTAAGACAGATCTTAATTCAGAGTGTAAGGAACCACAAAAACAAACTTCAAAAAATAGTGATTTGGATGATTTTTTCGAGCTGAACGCAGAAACTGCATTATTCTCAACGAATATAAGCTTAATTAAAAACTCTACTTTGGTTTCGAATTATCCGCAAAAGACTACACTAGAACAAACTCATGAGATTAGAAGGCAAGTAACGCAAGACTGCAAAAAATCTAAGCAGAGCTTTTTAAAGCAACCGTCATCATTTGTACAAGATACAGTTGGCAATAGATCGAATTTAAACGCAACAGAAAAATCCCCAGCGGAAAAGCATCGGACATCGACTGCATCCACAAATAAACCTGCTACAAATTACGAAAACGCCGCTAGCGCTTTGGGAATAGGTGACTATTTCAATAAGGAGAAACTCAACTTAAGTAATGAATATGACGATGAAATGAGTATTTACTTCAAGAATACACCCAGAACTCCCAAAAATACCGTACATGTATGGAGAGATTCTTTGGATAAGTCTGATAATAATTCCTTTGTACACCGGCAATGCGATCTAAATCAAACCAATCAGCTGGTGGAAAGGTTTTGTGTAGATCCGAATGTTAATCCTTTTAATGTGGAATTAATAAACGCTTTTCTAGATCAAATTGATTTAATAACGTTTTTAAAAGACTTGCAAACTTGTAGAATGGTAGGTTGTGTCCCCTGCATAAAACCAAACACAACGATTGAAATCAATGGCGTTCATTTTCAAATTTCGAAACTTATCGGTGAAGGAGCATATGGCGCTGTGTATAAGTAAGTAATATATTTTGGTTAGTATAAAATCAAAGTAATATTTTATCATTTTAAATATATATATACAATGATTATATTACTATATATATTTTTTTATTTATATAGGGGTATTGACACTAAAACTGGTGATAAATATGCGCTTAAACAGGAACGGCCACCAAACTACTGGGAATATTATATTTGCTTGGAGCTACAAAGTCGTATTACATCAGAAAATATGGTAAGAAATATATTTAACTACTTCCAAAAATTGATTCTTAATGGAAAGAACTAATTATATAATAACCCGTTCACGAGAACTTGACTGAATTGATCACATATAGCATTAGTTGTTTCAACTTTTTAAGAACCATCAAGTCTTAATAAAGCATTTAATACATGGGTATTCTTGTGGTACTTGCTTTTTTCCAATGCGTCCAGATTTGTTCGCCTTCCTCTTTATAGTACGGCGCTACGTGACTTTAGGTCTTCCACTTTTTCTGTTGCCCGTTTTTGATTTTAGTCAAAGGCATACAGACACAGGCGTTGAAGTGACTTCCTTACAAAACCTACGATTAATCTTCATTAGTTGGTAGTGATTACATAGGGCACCGTTTTTATATTGGACGGCTGAAGCATATCCGAAATACTCATTTTGTTGTTGTTTTAGCCAGTTTGAGATTGTTGAACGACACTTGGTCGTAAAGTTCTACAAGTGGTTCAGGGAAGCAGACCCGTCCATTCTTGAAATCCTAAATTACTCATTATGTTTAGTGAACAAATTTTTAAGGTTTACGAATGAAATCCAACTCACCTAGGTCGGCAAACTATCACATCTGTAGAGATTCATTTGGAATCTAGGTATTAAATAAATAAACAAAAATTCCTTCAAATTTATAAAATTAATCATTAATCGAAATTAACTTATTAATAACTTGATATTTTTTTATTGCCTATTCCATAAAAGAAATAAAAAATTTTTAACCTGATTTTCTTTTAAAAGTTAAGTCAAAATAGTTAATTTTTTTATTAACTATGAAGCAATTTTTCTGAACATTAGAATTTATATTCTTTTACAAAGGAATAATATATAGCACCATAAGTAAAAAAATGTTTATATACAATTTCCATTTACAATTCCACAATATAGAACTGTAACAACTTCTTAAATTTTAAATGTCTTTTATACTCATAGTCGCACTAACATACGAGATGTGACGAAAAAGTAACACATCGTATCATTTTCATCGATTCGAGTAAATGTAGTATTTATGTATTGGTTGCACTATCAGTAATGTTTGTAGTAACTATTAGACAACTGTGGTGTTTAGTTTGTATTTGCCAAGCGAATGAGCAGGACTTACCCAAGCGTGTTTAGCGACATTTTATGTAGCATATTTTGAAACAGATAACAGATTGTAACAGAAACAGATAATAAAATTTATGTTTTAAATAAAATTAAGTACGTGCGAATCGTTTATTATACTAAGTAAGACTTTTGGTAACGATACTATCATAATCACGAACTTATAAATAATACAAGATCTTTTAGGAATATCGAAAAGACCTTAAAAAAACCCTGGAGACTTTATCGATCAATGATAAAATGTTACAAAAATTAGAAATATAATAGACGAACTGTTACCATTAGAGAGGTTTCTGAAGAAGTATAAATATTATACTGCTAATGTGAATTGATTTTCACCAAATCTTTGGTCATACGAGTTACAACTGAATGCGATCGACTCATTCAACAGTTCATAGTGAAGTATAAGAGTAATGCCAAAACTGCACTATTTGCAAAATTTGGTATTCTGCAACTATTTTTAATATAAAAAATTTTTTTTTTCAATGAGACACTCAAGGGATTATAACGGTTTTTAACAATAGTTGAGATGGCTACTACGTGGCAGAACCAGTTTAATCAAAACTATTTCTAAAAAGGCATTTCAACAGTGTTTCTGAAACTAGAAACATGCACACAGGTGCATAATAGAAAACGAAGTACTCTTGGAGAGAGACAAGAGTACTTCTAGTGACGGAATTATACAATTTAATTTAATAGTTCAGCCATAGCTTTTTAATTTATAATTTAAATATTCTCTTTAAATAAGTTATTCTTTTTCTTTTAGTTAAATGCGTACATGAAGATTGAATTTTCTCTAATCGGCAATAACTCAAGTGTATTAGTATCCAAATTTTCGGACTATGGTTCACTGATAAATGTTTGCAATAAAGTTAAAAAGTCAACTATGAAAAATGTGGACGAGTATGTAGTGATGTACCTGACATGTGAACTTTTGGAAATCATGGATCACCTGCACGCTGCTAACATCATCCACGCAGATATTAAACCTGATAATATACTGTTAATGAATAAGTAAGCATTCATTTGTTATGTACGAGTATTAAATATTTTTTATATTTTTATATTTTTTAAAAAAGGTTGACATATCCAGCGAAGCAATGTTGCCTGCAACTGATCGACTTTGGTGTTTCGATCGATATGCAGCTTTTTAAACCTGGGCAGACATTCAGTTATGTGCACAATAATAATGCATTCAATTGTGTGGAAATGCGTGACAAACGTCCATGGACTTATCAATTGGATTTGTATGGCTTAGCGGGAGTGATACATGTATTGCTCTTTGGTAAATATATGGAAGTAGAAAAACGATCCGATTATATCTGGATGCATAAAACGCATGTGCCGCGTTATTTCAATAAAATCTTATGGGAAACTATCTTCAGGGAACTGCTGAACGTGCGCGATTGCAACTCAATGCCTAACTTGCAACAATTACGTGCAATTATTAAGAGGGAAATAATAGAAAAGGAGAAGTTTGTTATCAATAAAATAGCAGAGTTCAACAAAGCATTATCTTCATAAAATTTAAAACCGTACATATATTAATATAATTTATTATTTTCATTAATTAATCATTTATAGATTTTTGCATGTTAAGGACATTCATTTTTACATATTTTTTTTGAATTATTTTTTCACGTACTACTATATATTGTAACTTTCGTTTTTTTTTATATCCTCATAAAAAAACAAATGCAAATTGTAAAATATATGTTAAGTTCACTGTAAAAATGTTTTATTATTAGCAAAGTGCATTTGGAATGAAGTTCACACGCGTGTATGTATTTTTACAGTTCGGAAGACATAAAATTTTTTAATGAGTACATGAAATTTATTAAATCGGCAATTATAGAAGTAGCCGAGATACTTAAATTTCGTACTTGCAATTTGAATCAGTGATTGGTTGGTTTGGCTAACGCACAAATGAGAATTTTTACGCTACATTCAAATATGTAAAGTTGAAGCAATGAGTAGTGGAGCAAAAATCAGTCAATAAAAAGTCTTGGCTCCTTGCACGGGTTTTTGTAAACCTTAATGGCTCTTGCTTTCCTTTCTTTACGAGAATGCATTATTTTCTTTTCTGCAGCACACATTAAGCGATCCTTGATATAATTGTCCATTTCAAAGTCAATGTCTTGAATGGGTTGTATATCTTCTGGGTTTTTCGCTGCTGCAGTATCAAGTGCCTTAACTATTAAGCTGAGCAAAGCATGTGCAAGCTTATGGCATACTTCATATTCAACCGCTTCCTTGGTTGTGTAATAAACAGCAGCTTGATTATTGGGATGAACTCCTATTGCTAGTAGGATGTTACAAAAAATTCCACGCTGCATACGATTAAACGGTTCCACAAGTTGCGGTGGCACCTTTATAGTTGTTGCAAGATTAGCGATGAACTTAGCAAATTTCTGGATGAGAACATTTAAATACTGGGTACGGCACTGCCTTTCCATTTTGGTGAGCATTTCATAGTAAAGTTCCTGTTTACGCTTAAGTAAATCCTCACGTCTACGTTCTTTAGCTTTATGGTTCTTAATTATGTCTTCCAATTGCCTTGAAAGCATTAATAAAAACATTATTTTAATAAACTGTTTAGTCGAATATATAATATCTTACTGACTAATAAGTTATTTGGTAGAAATATTTATTAAAATAATGAAAAGTTAAACAAATCTATTGTTATATATGTTGTGAAGGTTAGGTTTGTTTACACCGGCGATCATAAGGATTCACCTGGTTTTGTTACCTAATAAAATTATAAAATTGAATTTCTTTTTTATAATCTTTTAATAATATAGAAAAAAGTGAAAATTTATCAATTCCCATTAGACAGCTACAATCGAGTGAAAGGTACCATTAATTGGATAGGGATGCCATTTTAGTGCGATAAATGTGGAAGGTAGGTCCTGACATTAGTCAGATACGTAATTGTCACAGTATCTATATATACCTCTGGCTCGCAGCAGATTGCAAACACTTCTTAATTAAATTGTGTGATATCAGAATTTAATATAGAAAATAATATATTGAAACACATTATTATAATACGCTAAAATATTATAGTTCATCCATTTGTTGAATTATATTGTTAGAAATAATAAGTCAGTTGCACGTTAAACTATACTCTACAAAGTAATCCACTAATCTTTTTCTTGAACTTCTTTTCATGTGAGAATCCCTAACAAGAATAAAAGAAAACATGAAGAATTGTCTAAACACCAGAAATGTAACTATAAAATTACCGTTGATTCAGTTCTAAACCAAGCCCGTTGGGAGAACAATATCTATATATCAAAAATATAAACCTGTTTCTTATATATCATATAATATATACATTAATTTGATACATCAAATATCCTTAAACTAAGATTGAATGAATTAATTGATTGATTAAAAGGTTAATTGAATTAGAAAAGATGGTACAGATATATACTAGATGTCACTAAAATGAGTTTGTTTGTTCGTTTCTTAAAAAAATGATGTACATCTACCAATTCAATCAAGAACTTACTCTGTCGTGATTGCATTATGCTTCCATGCCAAGTTTTTCATCCGTTCACCTCGCAACCTCGGTGTCATGATGTCAGCATAGTACTCAGCAGTGTACAAAACCGCGTGTTTTTTGGGCTCTTTCAATCTTTCAAAAGTGGGCTTAGCTATATACGGCGGTTGCGGTTGGTACGCCATTCTATCGACATATTTCTTGAGTTTTTCCATATTCTCATTACGTCTGCGCTCGTCATCTGGTATCTCTTCCTCTTCGACAGAGGTCGAGGATGTCGAGGTGGGAAGGGGCAAGTCCCAACTATCGACATTACTGCTTGCCATATTTGAATACTTTTAATTTGTTTGTAAATTGTAAAAATTTGCTAACTTTGAGTATGCCAAAATATTATTTAACTGTAGAATTTGGATGGATTTTATAAAATCATACGTAAATTAGTAAATAAATTTTATTTCAATGAAAGAATTTTAATTGTCCTTAAAACAAATTTTACATTTCAGTTACTTTATTTGGTTAATTTTGAAATTTAATGCAGAGCCAATTTGATGAAACTTCAAATGATGTTGGAGGGTTTGCAAGATATTCCTGTTTATAAGGCAAATGCCAAGTGTCTTTCACTTTGTGCGCGCATATCATAAAACGAATTGGCTCCTAGAAAAAATTCTCAGTTAATAGCTAATAGTCTCTGTTTATTAAACGTCAGTCGTCAATCATACCTTAACTATTATTTTTCCACCTTCAGTTTGGGTAACTAAAGAATATTGGTGTTCCTGTTGCCAACGTCTAAAAATTGGTCGTAGTTCAGGCCCCAGTAAAAAAGAGTGTGTACGCATTAAATCCCGCGAGAAGAAATCAGTGTGGTGGCCGCTCTTCAGTGTAGCATACAATAAAAATGGATCATCATGTGTTCTATAATTAAATGCATAAGATATATAAATATGAATTATATAAATTTAATTAATGCTTTTAAAATTTTTGTTATATGTAATAATTCTTTATGTTTACTCGCACATTCGATTTAGAATATTACTAATTGTTAAAGATATATAAAGAGTTGATATGCAGATATCTATATTGAAACTATTTTCATTGCGTAGTGAGCATTGTATAGCTCCCTTACATTATCAATAAGCGTCCGTTTTCTTTAATAAATCGTAGCAGTTGATGGTCTTAATTTATTTGAATATAACCGAGATATGGTTTAATTGTTCTGCATTTAATTGTTGTAAGAACTTGTCTTTCACATGAAGGTACTTTTAGCAACAGCTTGAATTGCAACAGACCTCGCTGTTTATCACAGTCGTAGACGTCTCTCTCGATGCTGTGGAAGAAAGCCCATCGGCATCGATTGGAAGCTGAATCAAAAGCAGAAAAATAAAATACGGCCAAGAATTGCTGTGCAGAAACGTTATCTGGAATGTGGTATCATACCTGGCAAAAAGCAGCTCTAGCAACAGTTCCCTTATTTTGAGGACGTAAGAATATTCAACAAATATATCTGACGTATTAGATTGTTAACAATTAAATTACAAAATTTGCAAAACTCCTTGAATTATATTAAAGACGTTGAGCTTTATTTAATATATGGTATTCTGGCTTCTCTACATCACAATAACTTTCTCTAAAAACGTAATTGTTAACTCTTCTTTCATAAAAGGCTGGAATAGAACTGCTCCAGAGGTTCTAAATAAAAAATAGTGCTTCACAGCACTGGCATAAATTTATGAATCGCTCTGATCAAATATTAATAATATTATAAATTAAATAATAAAGGAAAAAATTTTAATTTGACCAAGGACACACCTTCTTGTCTCTTAATCTTTTTATCTTCTTATCTAAGAAGAGTATATATATATATAATCTTCTTACATATACTCTAGAAGTTTTATTTGACTTTTGTTGAATGAAAACATCGATAACACTGAAGATGGTCTGCAAAGTAAACCGAAATATTTATATAAATAAAGAAAAGGTTTTAATTTTGTTTCAAATTATTTGTTATTATTTAAATTTGTATTATTCTTTACTTTAACATTACTTAAAAGTTATAAAAAAAACAACCTAAAGCTAGACAGATGCGCAAACAGATTTAATCTTTATTCTAAACTTAAGACCACTTTAAACAGATATCCTTTAGTTTTTGAAGAAATAACGTAAAAACTGAAAATAATTACTAAGTATAATATTGGAATAATATAAGTATAATATATTTGCATCGTACATAATAAATATAATAATAATAATTTGATTTTTTAAATCATTTATGACGAAAGAAACCATGTTTTTTCTATAGAAACTATTGTTGTTTAATGGAGACGTACATATTTTTTAATACACTGTAGTGAATTATAATAAAAACTTTTTATTATTTATTAATTAATGAAATATATAATATATTGTTAATGAAAATTAAAATCATTTTATCATTGAACTAACAATAAGTTTTATTTAAAATGGTAAGTTTTTTGTACTTCTGAGAGCAATTTAAAAAATTAAAACTTAACTCTAAAAAAAATACATTGTACATTCTTAGTTTAATTTATTTAACTATATTTGGCTAAATTAGATGCTTAATTCTAAATTAAAAAATATTTGTAAAGAAAATGACACAAACGATGACGTACATGTCTTATCATCTTATGCATGAGTCGAAAAACAATGCTCTCTTAATTTATACAGCTTTGTATATAGAATATATGATGTGAAAATGCTTAATATTATATATACATATAGAATTACATACTTATTTTATATACTAATTTTACATTATATACATTATTAAATATTTAATAATTTTACAATATTCAGACAGTAATGAATCGAAGAAAAAATATTTTTTTGTAATTAATTAATTTGATATTTCAGCTGACCATACAGGTTTTTCGTGTATTACCTAACCTCCATCATCAGTGTCCCTTGGAAATAACTTTATGGATTGCAATATTCACAATTTTATGGATTGCAAGTGCCAGGCTTAGAACTTGGATCCTGTAATATAATAATATTATTACTGTCCAAACTTTTATATTTTAAAAAAATAGTTTCTTCATCATATTTGATTGTAAAACAAAAAACAATTTTACAT